GGAGAAGTCACAGATCTTAGAGGAAAACCTCAAGGCCATCACATCCCTAGACAACGTTAACGTCTTACTATGTGCAAAATGTTGATCCTTATATTTATAGACAAGTATCCCAGTTACCTGTGCATTACAAAAGAATAAGAAATCAAAGGAACAGAAACTGAAAAGTAGTAGAACTCTTTATTCATGGGTGACATGATCTCCCACTTAGAAAAATCTAAGGAATACGTAATAAATGCACAGCTAATTAATGCAAATCAATAACAATTATATCTCTCTGTCTTACTGGAAACTATTAGAAAAGAAATAAATGTACAATAGTCTCAAAATGAGAAAGACTTAGGGATAAAATTGACAAAGTATGTGTTCTGAAAACTGAAAATTGCTGCAGAGGAAAAGTTCTAAATAAGGCAGAGGTAGGTATGGACTAGACTCAGCAAGCTTATCTTGGGGAATTAGCAAGTTGGCTTACAGTTTAAAGGGAAAAGCAGCCTGGGAGAGTGAAAATTATTTTTACAAACACACATGGAAGAGATGTGCTATAACGATGATAGAGAAATAGCATGGTATCATAAGGATTCTCCCATAAATCAGTATGGTACAGAAAAGAATTCACCAAAGCTGTCACATCCCTAGACAAATGTAATTTATTATGCGCAAAATATGGATTCTTAAATTTATAGACAAGTATTCCAATCACCACCCATCAAAGAAGCTTCTTTTTCAACAGACAGAGATTATTTCAGAGTTCTATAACTAGTCATACATAGAGAATGTCTGTGAATTGACCAAGCCTAAGTGGCACATCTACAATGCAACCTCTACACCTAAGGTTCATGGAACATAGAAAAAGGCATAAAGAGGACACTAATGCATCTTTCAGTTCTCATTAATGAAGCACCGTCATGCAACAGAGGGCCAGAAACACAAAAGGTCACAAATGGCCAAAGTGTAGAGAATAAGAGTCTGCAGAATGTGGGTCCTTGGACAGGACTTCTCTATTAAACTCCACCCACCCAGGGCTCAGGGACCATTGCAGAAGAGGTGGGTAGAAGGATTGTGAGAACCAGGGAGGAGGTGCATGACCATATGCAAACAGAATCGTACAGCCTCCTGGGACCTTGTGCATATGAACCTACAGCAATGGTGTCAGCATGCACAAGACCCATGCAAACTCAAGCAGACAAAAACCCAGCATAGAACTGCGGAAATGGACAGCAATCCAATCCTAGTCAAAGAATTATTGGCAGCTGATAACTGCTGGGTGAGGAAGAGCTGATCTTCTTAAAGGGAGGGATTCTAGATAGGCTATCTAGACCTCAGTGGATGAGTTTGCACTGAGGGATGCCTGGGGACACTAACTTGACATGATAGGCCTTAACATAAATGACAGAACATATGAAATCCAGTGGAGGGGACCATGGGCAGGTGCCAATGGGGAAGGGGGTATAAAGTTAAGATGTTCCGTATGAAATTTATAAAATTTAAAAAAATCTTAAAGCATATGAAAAAATTACAAAATTAAAATAAAAAAGCAACAATTGCAAAAAAGTAAGAATTCAGAACGACACAAACTTATAGTCAACTGATTTTTAACCAAAGTACACAGTGACTCAATAGGAGAAAGAACAGTCTTTCCTAAAGACTGTGTAGTCTTTTCTACACATGCATGTGCGTACACACACACACACGGAGGGAAGAAGAGAGAGGAGAGAGAGAGAATAATCAAAGCTTATTTGTGACATCTGAGGACACTAGAGAATCAAGTTACTAATTCCTCTTAAACAGGAAAATACTGGGAAAGAAATATTTTTGCTGCCTCCTGTACCAACTGTACCACATGGGGAACAAAACAGCGAGTGCTAAAGATGCAGCTCAGTCGAGTGCTTATCTACTTGTCTAGTATAGGTGAGGCCCTGGGTTCAATCCCCAGCAACCCCACCCCAAAAAAACAACAAATCCTACCTGTCACCTGTATAGCTTGGAACTGGCTATGTCTACCAAGCAGGTCTTGAGCTCACAAGATCTACCTACTTCCGCCTCCTGAGTGCTGGGATTAAAGATGTACACCACTACTCCTAGCCTTAAAACAACAACAACAACAAAAAAAACCCTTTAAAACTCGGGCCTGGAGAGATAGCTCAGCAGTTAAGAGCACTGGCTGCTCTTGCACAGGACCTGGGTTCAGTTCCCAGCACCCACATGGCAGCTAACTCCAGTTCCAGGGGATTCAACACCGTCTTCTGGCCTCTGTAGGCACTGCATGCATGGGTACACTTATATACCTGTAGGCAAAACAGCCATACACAGAAAGTAAAAATAAATTTTAAAACTTTTAAAACTCATTATTCTGGGGCTGGAGAGATGGCTCAGTGGTTAAGAACACTGGTTATTCTTGCAGAAGACCCGGGTTTGAATCCCACCACCCACGTGGCAGCTAACAACTGTCCATAACTCCAGTCCCAGGGGATCTGATGGCCTCTTCTGACCTCCACGGGCATTGCACGACACGGGTGCACTTACCTACATGCAGGCAATACACGCGTACACATAAAATAAAAATAAATAAAAATTTAAAAAACTTCACCATTCTGAAAGCATAAGTCTCAGGAGAGATGGCTCAGTGGTTAAGAGCACTGGCTGCTCTTGCAGAGGACCTGGATTTGGTTCCCAGCATGCACATGAAAGCAGTCCCTAGAGGGCAGTGTGTAAGGGCCTGACAGCAAAATTAGAGAAAGTCAGCCGAGGAAACCAACCTGCAAGCAATAATAAGCACAGCCAGCCAAGAGATGGGCCTTTGGAGTTCACATCACAGAGCCAGGTCTTTGTGCATAGAAGCCTCTGTAGTGACGTTTATGCTTACACTCCTGCTCTGTGGACCACATTTGTGCATTTAGGGCTTCAGTTGTTTACCATTCATTCACTGAGGCCAGAAGAGGGAACTGGAGTTATAGCTGGTTGTGAGCTTCCATGTGCATGCTGGATTAACTATGACACCATCTGTGGTAAACTGTTTCCCCTGGTTGCTGATGAGGTATTCACAGTTATGTAACAGCAGAGGAACATTAAGACATGTGCCTTGTTTTCTCCAGATCCTTCCAATGTTCTTTGATAAGTTCAGTTTTCTACAGAGCTACCATTGATTTTTATACAGTACCTTAGGTTTACCTGCAAGTTAATATCCTGGCAATGTATATTTTCACATATCCTTCTCTCACAATGTGGTGGATTATTTACCAAAAATTCTATGCATATATTCATTGTGCATAACTTTGGTGGGAACATATAATTAATACAATCAACCATGTTCAGAATTAAGGACATGGGCATTCATGACCTTGTATTAGTCATTCAGATACCAAATCTCAAGACTTAAACATTAAATAGGAATAGATCTAAGAGGGTCAGCGATTCTGAGAAAGGGTAGATGAAAGCTATAGTTAAAGGATCACAAGAATGGGAGTTGTTCAAAAGCGGGATATGCTAGTTTGGGAGCTAGTGACGGTTCATTACCAAAATAACAAAATACACATAGACTATTAAACATGTATAGAAGAGGTTTAGCTTTCTAAAAGCTGTCTGAGATAGCACTGCCTCCTGTTCTCAATGATCATCATCTCCTTTATCTCTAAGGAAAAAGCCTTTTTGTTTTTGTTGTTTTCTGGGACAGTCATATGCAGTCCAACCTGGCCACAAACTCACAATCCTCCTACCTTAATCTCCTGAGTCCTGGGATTTCAGGAGTGTGCCAACATGCTGGCAAGAAAAGGGCTTTACTTTTCCTCCTCCTGTTAAACACTACTCAGCACAATATGTCTACCACCAGATTACAGATTATCTCACTTCAAGAATTCTCTAGCGGACATTGACTGGGTGTCCTACAATCTTGTTCAGTCCTGACACTATCTCCTTTGAGTAGTACTTGACTCCACAGGCTGAGGGCTGAGTACCAAGACTTCCTCATCCGATGGCACAGGACATAGCCTCTGCTTCTGACTCACCAGCTACAAATTAAGCATCCCCAGATCCCCTCTTCAGGTTCAACTAACTTGCAACAGCAGCTCACAAAACTCAGAAATGGTAAAAATCTAGAAAACACACACACACACACACACACACACACACACACACACA